GGAGCGGGATTGCAGGGATCTTATAAACAACGGGTTTTTCTTCTTGGTATACATTCGTATGGTTTAAACAATTGTGATGGGGGATCACCCTTTATGGTGACCGATACTCGGCCGTATGCACAATTGATATGTAATCTGACTGGGATATGTTATCATTTATCATCCTTTACGTGATATTTACTGATCATCCATTATTTTCCGCATTCAGTATTTCGTTAGTTTTGCGTAAAGGAAATGAAAAAGCTGAGGATCAAATATTTCATTTCATCTCATATTTTATTAATAATGTACGCTAACGGTAATGAAATTTCACTTTATTTTTTTAATCAATACTTCTTACACGTACAGTCATAAATAATATCAAACGTAATCACTTCTCTTACCAAACATCACCATGTCATACACATTAGCGCAATATGACGTTTATTAATTCGCATTTTACGTTTCATGGTCATTTGATGATGTTTTGTACTGATATTAAATAACTGTGGATGACTTGATTGTAGTATTGTATGAATGAAAGATATGTTCAATGATGAGATTGCATGGAGGTGAAGCTAAGATAGTTTTTATTCTTTTTCATACTTTAGGATTTTGATTTTTAAGTTAATTGTGAACTTGAAACCAAATTGCATATTATGGATTAATGTAATGTAACGACAAAAAAAAATTTAAGTTGATTGTGTCTTCATGTGTTTTCTTGTCCGCCTGTTTTGATACTTTTATTAGCATTACGTCTATAAGATTGGCTAAAAGTGGATGTTGCGATTGAGTGCGAAAAAGTTGGGTTGTATTGCTGGATAATTGGGGTGGTGTTAAGCAGTGAAGTTCATATAGGTAGACGAACAGGAGAGAGATCGAGAATCCATGTCCAAATCAACTATCGTTTCATTCCAAGTCCGTGTGCTACTGTTATTTTTGTTGGTTTACTCATGTTGTTTACATTTGATTCATTGTTCAGTCAGCAGTTTAAGCTTTAGCTTCAAGCTAAAGTAGTAAACTTTATTCATTTGTAATTTAGACCACTTACTTTTGGTATATTCTACTCGTAAATTATCCCTATATCACAAGTAGTCACTGATGATTGACTGTAATTGTAGACTGTTCAATTCATTGAAAATGAAACGGGATAAGAAAGATGAAGAAAATGGTAACGGTAATCCACTCGGCAATCTCGATAAAACAGCCGTTTTGCAGGAGGTATTCATTTGTCCTAGGATTTAAATGTTTATCATTTGTTTATAATTCAACCGTGAAAAGATTATTACAGTTGGAAGCATTCTCTGAATTGAGCTACTCAATCTGTTTCACATGAAGTAATTGCAAGAAAATACCAATATTGATAAGGCAGTGTTTCTTCGTTCATTCTGTTAACCATTTCTGATTCCCCCCTTAAATCGAAAAAGAATCGGATATAAAGGATTGTCTCAATAATCCAACTGATTATATTTATTTGAATTGTTTCTTTTATATCATTTTCGTATTACATGCTTTGCAAGAAACTAGAAAAGGAAAATTAATATTTTATCTAACGACAAATTCTTTTTTACTCAAAAATTCAGGCCCGTGCTTTCAATGAAACACCGACAAATGCACAGAGATGTAGTCTGATCTTGAGTAAATTGCTGTATTTACGACAACAAGATGAAATAATCGGCCCTACTGATGCAACGGAGGCTTTTTTTGCTGTAGCAAAATTATGGCAAAGTAAGAATTCGAATCTACGACGCTTAGTCTCTCTTGCAATTAAGGAATTTTGCGAGATCTCCAATGACGTCATCATTGCATACTAGCAGGTTTGTTTAAATTCGTTCTTATTCATTCCTATTTGAGTAAAGTTATTTGGTGCTCATTTATATGTTTTCTTGTGATTTGCAAATTGAAATAAAAGAAATAAAAACTTATCGAGTATATTTTAGCTTTACAAAGGATATGACTGGTCGAGAAGATATCTGTCGTGCAACAGCTATCCGATCGTCGTGCTGCATAACCGATGGAAGTATGTTGCAGGCTATTGAACGTTATATGAAGCAGGTTTGCCATATTAACTATTTTTAGGGAGTTCTGTGTTAAAATCCAAAATTGGTCGTTTGTCAATATTGAATATAC